TCTATCTCTATCTCTATCTCTATCTCTATCTCTGGGCTCAACTAGCTTCTGAATCCAGAATTACCTGGTAGAAATTGCTCTAAGCCTGTTTCTTTCTATCTAGATAGAGTTGTATAAACAAATATCATTAGCCTATTGATGATACCTCACCCCAGGCTGACAGATGACCTCTTCCAATCCATTAAGAGAAAAGAGAGTCATGGAAGCTGAATAAAATTAAGCCAAAAAATGCAAGCATCCTCCCGAGAGTAGACATAGTTTGACAGGGGGGGAAAAAGTCCAGAAAAGCATAAAGGGAATAATACTTCAAATTTACCAAGGTAATCAAACACATGGAATTCCATGCAAGTGAACAGACTGGAAGGAAGGGGACAGACTTCTGAATTCCTTCTGACAGCCTGGTTGGTTTCTATATGAGCAAATCCCAGAGGGGAAAAAATGTTTCCTCTCCTATAACCAGCACAGAAATATGGTGGACAACCTGACTCCATTAATCCACATAGTACAGAGCAAAACAATACACTATAAAACAAAACAAGCCCACAAATCTAACCTGCTAATAGCTTTTTTTTATATAGCAGCTGCTAAGAAAGAGCCTATCCCTAAAAAACTAATGTCCTACATAGAAATATAGGCTGATAATATTTGGCAGGTGGATTTTAAAGGGCAGAAGCGACATCGACAAAATAAGAGAGCTACATACTAACCTGACAGATAGATACTGGCTGCATCGTACCAAAATGTGCATGCAGTGAACAGATATAATTCCAATGAAGAGAAGACTGATGGGTCCAACCTGCATGGGAGAAGGAACAAAGATTAGCAACCAATTTATAAAGAGCAATGTGCAGGGGTGGGATTGAAACTGTTTAGCAACCGGCTCTCTGCCGGGTTGATGGGTGGATGTGGCCATGGGGCCTGTGGCCTATTCGGCCTCCTCATGGCAGGGGTGGCCATTTTCATCCTCCCCAGGCTCCGGAGGCTTTCCCCAAGCCTCCGGGAGGGCAAAAACGGCCTCCCCCAGACTCCAGAGTTACAGAGTCAGTATATTGCCCCCAACAATCTGGGTCCTCATTTTACCCATGTCGGAAGGATGGAAGGCTGAGTCGACCTTGTGCAGGTGAGAATCGAACTGGCAAATTGGAGGCAGCCGACAGGCAGTGGAAGTAGCCTGCAGTACTGCATTCTAACCACTGCGCCACCACGGCTCTTAATATGATGAATCTCCTACCACTGCCTTATGTGTTATGCGAACCCGGCCATTTTGTGGCAGGCCTCAACAGCTAATGGTGGGGTGTGACTAAAACTTACCAGAATGCCTGCATTTTTCATTGCAAGAGGGAGGCTCAGAAGTCCTGTCCCAATGTTTCCTTTAAGGATGTGAGTGAGCGTTTGAACAAATCTGAAAATGAAAAGAAAAACCTAAAATATCACAGGGTGGACGCCATGTGGACGCCGCTGGGCCCGTTCCAACCGTACCAGTTGGAACGGGATCCGGAACCCACCACTGGTGTGCCTGCACCCATAATGCAATGTGTGCATGACACACACCTTGCACCCTCACCTGTGCATGTGCGTGCAACCCTCCATGCTCCCTCACTCCGCCCCACAAATGTGCATGAGCCCCCCCCCCTGCGGCCTGTTTTGGGCCTAGCAGGCCTTCCTGAAGCCTCCTGGGACCAAACATGGGCCACGGGGGGAGGGGGGGCGGTGGTGCCACTTACACCCATTGCATGTTTTGGGCCTAGCAGGCCTTCCTGAAGCCTCCTGGGACCAAACATGGGCCACGGGGGGGGGGGGGGGCCACTTACACCCATTGCCCGTTTTGGGCCTAACAGGCCTTCCTGAAGCCTCCTGGGACCAAAAACATTGCCCATTTTGGGACTACCAGGCCTCCCTGAAGCCGCTCCCCCACCCTGTGCACATGTGCATGTGTCTCCTGCATGCGCCCTCCCCGCACATGCGCAGCAGGGTCCCAAAAATCAGCTGGCTAGCATGAGGCATGCATGCATGCGCAGTGGAGCTGAGCTGGGGCGATGGCTGGCATGCCCACAGAGAGGGCTCCTCATGCTACCTGTGCCAACCAGAGCTTCGCTATCACGGATCTAGTCTCACAGAATTCTTGAAAGGGCCAGGAGGTTATTGTAAATACATAGGAATGGAGTACATACGTAATGCCTTCCTGATCAAGCTGATATTTCTTCTCTGCCGGCAGTAAATCTGTTTCATTGTCATATTCTTCGTCGGAACTCTGGTCTTCTATTAAAGGCTTCATTACTTCCAGGTCGACTTTAAAACAAAACGTTCTATATTACTGAATATAGTACCTAAGAATATCTTCAGATCCCCATCAGTTTTCCTATCAGAACATTAATACGAGTTATCATTATAAAAACCACTTCCCGGGTTAATTCTGCTTTGAAGTGCTGTTTCCCAATCAAGTTTAATCCCTTTTGTAGGAGTGCTGCGGATTTTCCTTTTTTATGTTCCCCTAAAGTCAACGAAGCAGCTGATTTTGGTTCATAGAATAACAGATGAAGTGGGAAACGTCTATCATTTGCAGGATTTACAACTGAAATCCAAGTGATTTGAGATACCCTAAATGTTAAAAGGTAGTTTAAGGTATATAGTAACTGTTCTGGCCTGCCAACGGAGCTAGCAGCAGATTCGGACAGTGAGGAGGTTGGGGAAGAACATGGGAAGAAGAAGTCTGGGGAAGGCTCTGATGAAGGCTCTGTGTCAGGGGCAGAGGGGGCCAGGGCCATCTGACAGCTATCAGCTGCTTTCAGAATCAGATGTCAGTTACACAAGCTCAAATCACTTGGATTTCAGTTGTAAATCCTGCAGATGATAGACGTTTCCCACTGCATCTGTTAGTCTATGAGCCAATATCGG